TCATCATCATCATCATCATCATCATCATCATCATTATCACAATAATAATAATAATAATTATTATTATTACATCAATCGTACGACACGTTTATGCTCGCTGCTGGCAATGTGTATATCATTCTCGAGAATAACGAGAAATTTGTTTTATCGGCTCACCCGTGTAAAGCTTCTCGGCTACCCCGTTCTGATCGACGGGTACAGCATTCTCGTCTTGCTCCAAACTCTTCAAACGACTCAGCTTCTCCTGCTTTTTCATCTGCTTCTTCTCGCGTTTGCTCAACTTTCTGCGAAAGCTGGAGCCATCCGAGGATGAGAAACCAACGCCCTGAGCGTTGGTCTTGTCGTCGATCCTTCTCAACAGAAAGCGCCCCTCCCGGTCGTCAATGTGCCAGTTTAATTGCACCAACAGTGGCTTCTCCTCAAGACCGAGCTTACGTTCTTCTGTAAATAATTAGACAGAAAACGGAAGAACCGGGGCAGAGACAGACGCTCCAACGCAACGCCCAATCGCAACTTCATCATACATCATCATCATACGCGTAGATGCTTCAGACAGGCTGGCAGACACTTACCACCATTCTCGTGGATTTCGTAAAGTGCGTATTCTGGAACCGAAAGCATTCGCATATCTGGACGGAATTTCTCGATAAGCGTCTCGATAACCGCTTGACTCGTCGCATCCGACGCTACTCTGATACATTTTGTCGCAACCTTCTGACCACTGTCTTGAAAGTAAAATCTCATCACGCCGTGGAACTCTAAATCCTGAAAAAAAAAAACACAATCGTTGCAATACATTCGCTAGACTGCTAGCTGCTAGTCAGATAACAGCTGCTAGTTCGATCCCTCCTCCCGCCCCCGGGAGGAAAGAAATCGAACGTAGCCGATAAATGATAATTCGGATAATAATTCACCTCGTTTGGTTCCGAAAGTTCAAACAGATCCAACCTGTTTGCGTTCCATTGCTGAATGACACCGCGCAGAGCCTCGCGCTCCGCCTTCTTGTTTGCCAGTTCCGTGGCCATTCTACAATCCAACCAAACGAAACCACCTTTTCGTCAAATTCCTCTTTCAACGTAAACACGTAGACACGTGTTCCAATTTTCTATTGTATTTTACGTTTCGTTGCGCGCCAATTAACAATTATCAACTACTCTACTTGTGTGAGGTGACACTTTTCGAAACAATTGCCACTCGATCGAACGTCGATCGATCAAGCCCCCCGGAAAACCAGACGATATTTCTACCGTCTGTAGATAAAAAGATCACACCGTTACACAAACGTG